TTTTTAAGTTTTTTTAATGTGGAATTTTTTTTTTTTAATTGTTTAATTGAAATTTTTCGATAAAAAATGTCTAAAAATTTTTAAATGTCAGCTAATTTCATTTTCATATTTTCTACACATCAAATTTTTCAAAAAAAATTTGTTCAATGAGAAAGTAAAAATTTATGAAAATAAAATTAGCCGACATTTCAAAATTTTTACAAATTTTTTATTGAAAAAATTTCAATTAAACAATTAAAAAAAAAAATTCCACATGTAAAAAACTTGAAAAACTATAAGTGTAATTTTTTATAAATATCTTTTTAGTTGTAATTTAAATAATAAAAAAAATCAAAAATTTTTAGACGTCTGCTAACTTTAGTGTCATTAAAAATTTTCCGATGTCGGCTAATTAAATTTCCATAAATTAATATTTTTATATTATCAAAATTAATGAGACCGCGCCATCTACCTCAGGCAGCAGGTACTAATTTTCCCGTCCAGGTAACACAGCAATCCGCTCTCGCGGTGACAGCTGGAAATACAATACCAACAAGTGATATGTATCCAGTTCTGTTCCTCATTCATAGAAGAGATTTCTACAGTGAATGCGAAATATATAACAACAGTCCGAAAACTAAACAGAGAATGGAGTATGGAGAACGTAAAAGTTGAGAAAAACAGTCGTCGACAATGGATTGACGTAGTATGAGTAAGGCTACTAATAATAATAACAATAATAAAAGTAATAGTAGTAGAAACAATAACAATAATAATAGTAATCACAAGCATCACTCTAAAGCATACATATTACTACTAAAATAATAAATAATATTTAGAGGAGTATCTAAAGTTGGATACATACGAGCATACGTGTATGTATCTGGATGTACAATATATATAATAAAACTGGAGCTCGAGGAATTGAAGATGGCGACGTATTTAAAAAGAACGTCAAAATTGTACGATCTAACAGTGACACACGCAGCATCAGCAGATAATAATATTAACTTCAGTGATTTACTGTGTCCAGTGTGTCGAGGCATATTAATAGAACCCGTGACGCTGCCCTGCGACCATAACCTATGTCTGAGGTGTCTCAAAGGTGCCTTGAAGCACAACAGTCTCAGTTGTCCTATGTGCAGAGTCAGAGTGGGCTCATGGCTCAGAACCGCAACCAAGAGTGAAACTCTTGTCAACAACAACCTCTGGGAGTTCATCAGGTCCAATTACCCCAAGGAGATCCAGGACAAAACCAATGTTATCATCAATGATGTTCCCCACATCAACAATCAACCTGGTGAGTCACTTTTTCTCTCTACTAGTTGCTAATAAACTTTTATTTTATCTTCTTAACCTATAAATAATAATTGTCACTTTTTTTTTATTTTTGTTTATTTTAGATTCAAAAAATTCGAGTATTTATTGGTTTATTTTTAGTGTTATAAACAATGAGAAGTTTTTTTTTTTAATTGTTTGTTTACATAATTATTTTTTGGCAATTAATAAATAAGTTTTTGAGATTTTATTTTGGAGCATCTGTCAAATGTTAATTAAAAATTTTTTTTTTTTAATTAAATTGATAGAAAAGTTTTTCTTTTAATGATTTATTTAAAAAAAAAATTTTTAGCGCTCCAAAAAAATTAATTCAATTTAGATAAAATAAAATAATTATTTGTAAAGATTAATAATTTAAGATAAAAGTTTTCTCATATTTTAACTATTAAAAAAAATGGTAAATATTTACAAGTGGGGTCAAGCATTTTCATTTTATTTTTTTTGAACGAAATTTCTATTTGATTTTTTTGATAGAATACATAAAAAAATAAACAATTAAAAAAAAAGCAGTTGATTGTCACAATTTTAACAAATTTTTAAACAAATTTATAAATTTTTTAGAAAATTGTGATATTTAACTTTTTTTTTTAAATTGTTCGATTTTTTATGTCCTTTTAAAAAAAAAATGATAAAATAGCAATTTTATCCAAAAACATGAGAGCCTAAATTTTTTCCAACTTTTGAAGACAAAAAAGCTATCGAAATCTTTATTCTTTTCTTTCATGACATTTTTTATCATAAATGCACCGTAAAAACAAGCAGAATAAAAAAAATTTGAAAATGTTAATTTTTGACTTAGTTATGGTCCAAAATGGAGTTGACCCTACTTGTAAATAATTACCAAAAAAATGATTAAATAATTAATAAAAATACTAAAATAATAAATAATTTCCAGATTACACTCAAAATTTACTAAGCAGCGGTGGAGAAATCCACTGTGGATACGAGCTGCAGCTGAAGCTAGCTGAACAAGAGATGTTGCGCCAACGAGAATCCGAGAGACTGGTAAATGAACAATATTTGCGTAAATTACATGAGCCAGAGCAGGATGATAAGCAGAAGCTCACGCAATACGCGCAGGATCGTTTGTTAGCACGCACGCTTGCCAAAACGCAGTTACTTGACAAAGAAAAAACAATAAAGTACTACAATGAGTGCTTAAAAAACACGACACACCAGCCCAACAAGTACCTGGTGCCCCAGTCCGGCGATTGTCTGCAAAACGAGCTGTTGCAGTTCAACAACAATAACAATAACAATAACAAGCAATTGCTGCTTCCAGCATCGGACCCTCTGCAATTGAACAGCCACCTCTTCAATTTGAGCAGTATAAATATAAAAACTGGCCCTGGAAATTTACTCTCGAGGAACATCGACAATGACATCCGGATGTCCAGCAACATAAATCTGATGGCGACGAAGCTGCAGCCGATTGACACCAGACAGAGTTTCTCCAGCTGTCTCAGCAAGCCTTCTTCAATAGTCAGGACTAAAGACTGCTGTCAGCTGACGCCCTCGTCTTCGCTCTCGTCGACGCTGTTGATTCCGAATATTCTCACTCTGAAGCAGCAGACGATGCCTAAAATGAACGCCTACATCACTACCGAGCCCGGGTGCTCCAATTCAACCTTGAATTTAAATTTAAACTCCAATTCTAAAATCTATGGCGATCAAAATGAAGAGGAGCTCCGCGTACCGGCAGATTTACTCAGCAACAATAAGAAGAATTTAGCTATGGAGATTTGCGTGATGACCACTGGGATTGTCGATGATAAGCAGCAAAGAGTTAGCGCTCAAAGTGCTGGTAGTCACGACAGCATTAACCCAGAGATTCACCATTTTAAGCCGATTAAAATCTTACCCAGAACGCCTTTGAAGCTGATGCCAGATGGGAGGCAAATAGATCCTAAAATTGTCAGGGTTGTTCCTGTTCTTAAGAGAATTGGCAATCCGATATTCAGAGCACCTTCTGTTGGGCATTTTAGACGGATCGGTTGTACTTGGAGCGCATTTAAAGGTAATTTTTTTTTAATTGAATTTTAATTAAATATATTAAAATAAATTTAGAGGTTGGCAATGGCCTGGTCGGCTCGGTGGTCACTTTTCGAAAGAGTGGGACCCGGGTTCGATCCCAGCACGCACCAATATTTTTCAGAATAAAATATGTGCGTAACACTAACATTGCCAACCTCTGGAAGTGGCAGAGATAGCCGGGCGGCACACGTCTGACTTGGGCGATCACCCATTTAAGCAACAACTTAAATGAGTGACCACTCTAGTCAGCGTTGGCTAGCGCGAGGGATCTCTGCACACTAGGAGAGGGGCCTAATGCTCCAGTGGTCGATAAAGAAGAATTCCTTATCTATCACTGTAGACTTAACCCAGCTCCGACTGTACTAACATGGGTTTTCTCTGTGGTTTCCCCATGTTTCTGTTCCAATACCCAAGTGGTGAGGATCAGGGTGAATACGGTACAGAAGGCACAAGTCGGTCCACAGCCGCAATGATAAGGCAGGTTAACTAAGCAGAAATGTGAAGGCTTAGGGTGTAAAAGGGCGTTATTACGCCTGTACACTAGAAACTATATATCTATCTATATTAAAATAAATTTTTTTTTTTCTTTAAAAGAGGATTTAATAATTCGACAATTTATACTAAAAATAATTTTTTTATGATAAATTTATTGAATTTATATTTAGGTATAGATTATCAAAGAAATTTTTATTTTAATTAATTGTTTAGATATAGCTCTCCTTATTTTTGGCCATAAAATCAAAAAATTGATTTTTTTTTACATTTTATAAATTTGCAAAGTTTCGTAAATTTTTAAAAAAAATTTAAATAGTATTTTGATAAATTATAAAACCATTTAAAAGTGAGGTCAACCTCATTTTGGGCCATAACTCGGTCAAAAATTAACATTTTCAATTTTTTTTGATTCTGTTTGTTTTTACGGCGCATTTATGATTAAAAATATCGTTAAAGAAAAAAATGAAGATTTCGATAGCTTTTTTGCCTTCAGAAGTTGAAAAAAGTTTTGGCTCATGTTTTTGAATAAAATTTTTATTTTATCTTTTTTTGATATATTTTTTTTTAAAAGAACATAAAAAAACGAAAAATTAAAAAAAAAAAAAGTTGGATATCATAATTTTCTAAAAAATTTATAATTTTTTTTTGAAATTCGTAAAATTTGTTAAAATTTTGATAATCAATTTTTTTTTTAATTTGTTCATTTTTTTATGTATTTTTCAAAATAAAAAGTATATCAATAGAATCAAATAGAAATTTCATTCAAAAAAATGATAATTGAAATGGTTGACCCCACTTGTATATATTTACCAACCATTTTTGTTCCAAAATCTTAGAATTAAATTCACAACAAAAAATTAAAACAAAAGAGCTAGTTATTTTTTTTTAAACTAATAAATTTTAATCAGATAGTAAGTAAATAAAAATAAAATAAATAACTAATGAAATTATTAATTTTAGGTCGAATAAGACAAGAAGCTCGTATAATAAACACATCACCAACGTGGAAATCTCCCCGGAATTCCGCGGAATTAAATCAAAACCAATCAAAAATACAATCACTGTCCCAAGCGTCCACCGAATCGAATTCTCCAAAACAGAATCTTCCAACGGAAACTACCGAGGTGAATAAAAATAATCATCTTATTAATGGTACAACAGCAGCTATAACATCACCACCGACTTTAACTTCAACTTCCACAAAGTCAGCAAAGACAAAATCAAAATCCTCCAAAAATGGTGCTTTGAAACGCAATAAAAATAAACCAGACTTATTGCCTGATGATAAGCCAGCTCCTCTAGAGGATTCTCAGCAGAAAGCTAATGAAGTTCCTATTACTGATGATAACGAATCGCAGGCGATGGAGAATATCGCCGAGAGAATAAAGCGCAGGAAAGTTAACCAGGAGCCGAAGACTACCTACAAAATTGAAGATGACGACGGTGAAGATTGCAATGGCGGCAAGATCAAGAGCAGGACACGGAAATCATCGCGTAAAGTAGAGACTGGCAAACCAGAGACGGAAGACACGGATAAAAAAATTAAGACACCGAAAAAAGTCACGCGAAAGCGGGGAGAACGTTTGAAGGTGCTGAAATTTGAAGATTCGCCTGACCTGGAGGATAAATCGCTGGATTCCGAAAAATTAACGCGTAAGCGTACAACGAGAAGTTCTGCTAGAAAATGTAAAAATAAATTATTAAGTTACAATGGTGATGATATTGATATTGATATTGATATTGATAATGATAATGATAATGATAATAATAATAAAGTTAATGGCGTACATGGTGATGATAATGATGATGAACGTGTGATAGTAGAAGAAGAAAACATAGAGAGGTTATCGCAGCAAGAAAAACAAGACTACGAATTAGCCCGAAGATTACAGGCTGAATTTAATGAAATGGAACTGGGCATCTCCAGGAGAACGAGGGGCTCCAAGCGGACGCCGAAATCCTCCGATGATTCAATTCCTCTGAGCGCGAGAGCCCTCGAGATCAGGAAGAAAAAACGCGGTAATGTTAATGTTAATGGAAAATTAATAGCTAACGCTACTAATGCTAAACCAATAACACCAGCAATTAAATCTCGGCGTAAACGTGATTAGATCGTTGTTTGTAATTATTGTTTGATTGAGGTTTTTATATGTCGTCTGCTTTTTAATTCATTTGGTCAGCTGTTTCATTTTAAAAGATTTTTTTGGTAAATAATTTCATACTTTTTTTTTTTTAATTATTTGTTTAAAAATTTTTCAATAAAAAGTGTAAATTTTTTTTTTTTAACAAAAGAAATTTCAAAAATTTCAGACAATGTTTTTAAATGCAACAGCTGAGGTTAAATTTTATTTTGGATGTAAATTTAAAAAAAAATAATTTAAAATTAGTAATTTTTAGATAAAATTATTTTTTTTTTAATTTACTAAAAATTGTTTAATGCTATATTTTAAAATTAAAAAGTAGGTGACAATGCTCTTTAATCGCGATAATGAGTAATTTTTGAAATGGGTTTCGTGGTAACTTTTTTATGGGTTATGGAGAGAAAAAAGAATGATGTGCTTATAAAACAATGAACAAAACCTTCCAGCTTGATTTTAAAAATATTAATTGATCATTATTATTATTATTATTATTATTAATTATTACTATAGTTATGTGGAGGGTGTGAGTGTAATAAGTGATTTTAAAATAACAATGTATGAGATAACTTTGCGTACCTGGTTAGTGTGGAGGGCCGCATTAAATTTAATGTAATGGTATCTGGACACTATTTATTGTTTTTTATTTTTATATTTTTTTTACATTGTTATTTTACTTAATCATTGGATTTTAAGTTACATATTTAAGACTACTTCTGGTTATTTTTTTTAATTAGTGTAAATTTTTTTTAAGTTCGGAAAAAATTGGGGGATGATTTAGAAAAAATCATGTCAATTTTGAAGTTTAGAAAGTGATAATTTAATTTAAAAAAAAATTAAGTTTAGGAGTGAGAAAAATTTTTATTTAAATTAAAAATAAAAATTTATAGAACCTTATTTGAAGGTTTTTTTTTAAAAGACAAGTTAATCAATTTAAGATTAAGTTAAACCCAGGAATAATTCATCTTTAGTACATTATGTATATAGATATGCTTAAAATATGCAAATCTTAAATTTAATTAAGTCTCGGATTAAAAAGATCGACTTTGAGAATTCATAAATAATTTCTAAGTTAAAACAATACTCTAAATTTATTTATCAAATATTATAATTAAAAATATTCGTGGAAATTATTATATTAGCAAAAAATTTATTTAAAATAAAAAAAAAAAATTTTTTTTAATTAGTAATTAAACGACTTAATCGTAAAAGTGATCTCTAGACCAGTGAATTAGATATTTATTCTCGATATTTTCAAAAATTAAAACCAGAATTGTCTTTCAAAAATTCTAAGTATTTTTTTTTTATCCAATTTTTGTATTAAATACAATATTATTTATAAATTCAGGAGCTGAAGTAAATAAAAAAATTTTTTTATAAATTATCTATTAAAATATGACATTTCAAATTATTATTTTTATACTGAATCTATGTAAAAAAATTTCTTTGTTTGATAAAATCTCTCAAAGTTATATTTTTAATGTCAGCTCCATAATTATACATATTGATATTGAAATATGTTAAAAATTTTAATTTAATCATGTAAAAAGGTAAATCATTTTTTCAACTATTTATTGGAAAAATATATTTAAATTATAAAATAACTTCAGATACCGTTACATTAATTTTATTTAAATATGACCTACATAACGTAAAACAAAAAAAAATTATGTTGATGTTTTTGAAAGATTAAAAACATTATATAAAATTAAAACTTGTAAATTTAGTGTGTGAATTTTTTTATCTCGTTTATTGTACACAGTATTAGGATTAATTATTTTATAATGTAACGTTACAACAATAATTATAATTATTATATTATATTATATTATATAATTATGCGGTTATTTGAGCTTCATTTATTACTATAATTACTATTCTTTCTGTTGAATATATATTAATCTCCAAGATCGACTATTTTAGTATCTGTAAATCCTGCTGCCATAAATATATTTTCAATAGCCGTTGCAATTGTTTAATTACAAAAATATTTATCAAAAAAATGATTAAATTGTAATCAACTAAAAAAAGTTGACATTTTAATTATTAATTTCATTAAACAAATATAACAAAAAAAAATGTAGTCGCGTATGCGCATGATTTGCGCAAACTCGGTAAAGCGGGCTTAATTGACAAAAAATTACACGGACATATATATAATATATATATGAAGAAAAAATTTTTTTTAATGTAAGAATTATTTTTCTGTAATTTAAATTGTTTTAAAAAATAATTTTATTATTAAAAAATTTTGCTGGATAAAAATCTGTAAATAAATCAAATTCCGTTCGATAAAAAATTAAAATAGCCATCATAAAATTTTGGATCTCTAAATAAATTGATAAACAATAAAAATAAAATAGTCCGTAGAAACTTTTATGGAATTTGACTCTAAAAAAAATATACGCAGCTAAATTACAGCAAAAATTTATTGAATAGCCAGTGCAGTAAAAAATAACTAGATTAAATGCTATGCATATTTATTGTGTATTAGTGCGTGGTTACGTGATAGTTTTACGAGAAGAATTCTAACTGCTGAATAATAAAAATAAAAAATGAACATATATAAATAAAAAATAAACAATAATAATTATGTACTAATAATTGAATGGAAAATATTATAAATGAAAGAAAGAATGAGTCGATGATATATGTCGTTTGCTCACGTGTGATTTTTAGTATGAAAATATTTTATACGTCAGTGTGCAAGAAAATATAACAATAAATAAAAAAAAATTACAACAAAACTAAAATATAAATATAAATCTCTTATTGTAAAGTTAATAAAAAACAGAAAAACAAAGATTTAAAGTTAAAAAAAAAAAAAACATGAGCGAATTAAACTCGATTACTATGTCGAGTGTTGTACTCGAAAACTATAAATGGTAAAAACAATAAAATACTGTGAAAAAGATAAACAAATAATTTCGTTTATTTTATTTCATTTTGGAATCTGAATTAAAATTTTTTAGATTTTATATTTTAATTTACAGGCTTTTTTGATTTCAATAAATTCTAACTAGCAATCTTGCAGTCACTATGTGACTGCCGTGACTTGTGGATTATAAATAAATAAAATTTTGCTTCCTTAAATAATGACTTTTGTTAAATTGCACTGTACTTTTTTAAATATTGACGTTTTTAAAGATATAAGCTCGTCCCGATGTTACACTCATCAAGAGCTTTCATTTGAGTACCCACATGCATTTTTGATATATTTTTCATCTATACATATATATAATATGTATAAATATATAAAAAAAATTGATGTGGGTACTCAAATGAAAGGTCTCGATGAGTATAACATCGGGATGAGCTTATATCTTTTAAAATGTCAATAGTTCATGAGATACTAGATCATTTCTTAATTATGTATCTATCGATAGAGTATTTTTGAATTCAGCCTAAATAATTATCATCATAAATTGACTATTGGTGAGAATGATATCGACGGTCTAATTAGCAATTGGTCTAACTCCTTATTTTTTAGAGGGTGATTTTTTAACATTTTAGTGTTGCAATAATCTAATTATAAATTATTTGAATGATCCAAACCAAAATTGTATACCTCCATTAGATATTAAATTATTTTTTAAAGTGATAATAAATTTTGGACTAATTGTTTTTTCGTACAAATGGAAGATTCTCTAAAATGGAGTTAGACAATTTGCTAATTAGAACGTCGATATGAAACTTTGAAAAGGCACAAATTAAAATCAAGACCTTTGCAATGACACTAAATTTCACTAAAAACAACCGATTTTATCATATGACTATCCTGGAGACAAAATTCTTCTTATTCTCTTAATAATATAGATTAAAAAAATAACTACCCTAAAATATTTATAATTTATTAATAAATAAAACCTAAAATAGTCATCAAATTTACGCTTAAATTATAGCCTGATAATATTTCCGTTTCTCACCATAAAATAATAAAAAGTATAATATAATACTTGTATTACTCGTATAGCACTACACTTTGATATTTATTTCCATTGGTTGTTTCTTTTTAATGAACTGTTTTCTTTATAGGTCAAGTAGTTAGTAAAACAGATCTCTCATAACATTTTTCTTTTTATATTTCTATTTCTATTTCTCTTTTCTCGCTCTTTATATCTTTTTGTTACAATTAATCTTGCTTGAGAAAATACAGATTTTATGTTTAGTTATTATTATTATTGGTAAACCATGACATATTTATTTATTTGCTTTGTTTTGGTTTTAGCTTTTTTACTAGAGAATAAATTTTTTTTAATGGAAGTGACAATTTAATTATTTCGTGAGTAGCCCATTTATTTTCTCTAAATTAATTAATTAATAAATTAAAAAATGAAAATTGACAACGAAAAAAAAGTAGTATATATTTCCAAGCTAAAGCTCAAACGTTATTAATTTAATTTAATAAAACAAAATGAATAAATGACAAATATTGGTAAATAGAACTAATTGAAAGCATGTACGGTGCTGTATTGTCGCGTACGCGGATTGGATGCATTACACAGAGTTTGAGCACTTAAGTTCAGGTGATTATCCAATAGTCCGACAACCAGGGCCGAGTGTCGTAACACAACACTGTGACGTCGCGATTATATCATATCATCACTATTGTTTACCCAATAAATGCGCGAGCTTACTCATCTATTTACAACACTCTCTACTTTACTCTATTACATTAACTCTACACTCTCAACTCTCCATTCCACATTCTACATTCTCCAACTCTTGTTTCAATCCCATTCACTAGTCATAATTAATAAGTACTCATTAACAATAATTACATATCCTTTGTATCAACCAATGTCATCATGTTGATATTTTATCGTTAATGCTTGTTAATTAATCAATTACTTCATTTATCAACTGATAATGATCAAATTTTGAAGCTTTTACAAATATTACACCTCCCTCCGAAAAGTTGTCGTCGGTCCGACAGCAATTTAAGAAAAAAAATTTTTGAATCTACATTATTA